AAAAAAGACACATAAAATTGGTCTACAGAAAAAAAAAGCAAAAAAAAAACCAGGTAGCATGGCCCCCAACGTAAAAAAAAAAAAAAAAAAAAAAAAAATATTCGTATTATAGCAACTATTACTAACAATTGAATTAGAATATTTGTAATAACAGTCATACTAGCATGACTGGCAGGTCATGAGGCATCTGTGTAAGTATAGCATTATACAAAAGAATGCAAACTAACAAATCTGGCAGTACAAACACTAGATAAGTCCTTGTGGCCATGTAAATTTATTGAAATTGGGTAACAAGAAGTCTATTTGAGAAGACTCAAGTAGAGAGATAGCTGGATCTTTAACAGCTCTACTATAAAGGCTAGCTTAGAAAAACAGATACCAAGCTCATAATACTTGGTTATAGTAGTCAGATAGGCAAAAACTTCTGGATTGGATGTCTTAAAGGTACTATCAATCAGGCTGCTAGAAAAACTAGAAGAAAAGAATATCAGGCCAACCTGATATACTGATAGATTGGTCATAGTTCTATACAGGCTATTTGAATTAGAAGTTTGGTAAAAAGACAGATAAAAAGGCAGAATATATTAAAGTACTGAAATTATGCTGTGAAGTAGATGCTAAGGTCTAAGTGAACTCTACAAGAGCATAGTAGTTTAATAGTTAAGCCCTAACTGCAAATGTTGGTTCTGCTATAGTAATATCTAGATTAGCTATAAAAATAGATACAGAAGGCTTTAGAAGATTTATCTTGAAGATAAATTAGTCTTAAGATTAAGATAATAATCTGAGCATCTAGGTATGACCCAGAGAGTTGATACAGGTTACAGGGTCAGAAGATTTAAAGTAGAACATCTGAGCAGGGGTGTTAGGTATAGCAATTGATAGAAAATTTTTGGGCAGACTTCTTAAATAAATAATATAGAAAAGTTATACATGTAACCAATTTTATTCAGCATTTACTATTTGATGGATTTTGCATTTATATACTGTTAGTAGTAATTTAGCACTATAAATTTTAGCGGTATTTGTTATTTACAATATAACTAAAATAAGTTTAATACAAATTATACTGATTGAATTGACTAGTTGTACAAAAAACTTTTACTAGGGTAAAATTTTTTAAATTGTCTTTGATGCTGAATGACTTTACTAAAGCAGAATTTTTTAAAATTGTCTTGGATGCTAAAATGACTTTACTAGGATGAAAATTTTTTAAAATTGTCTTGGCTGCTGAAATGACTTTACTAGGGCAGGAATTTTTTAAAATTGTCTTGAATGCTGAAATGACTTTTCTAGGGTGGGAATTTTTTAAAATTGTCCTGAATGTTAAAACGACTTTATTTAGGACGAGAATTTTTTAAAATTGTCTTGGATGCTGAAATAACTTTACTAGAGCAGAAATTTTTTAAAATTGTCTTGGATGCTGAAATGACTTTATTTAGAACAAGAATTTTTTAAAATTGTCTTGGATGCTGAAATGACTTTTCTAGGAAGGGAGTTTTTTTAAAATTATCTTAGATGCTGAACACCTTTATTCAGACAGGATTGTTTGGTTACATTTAGCTATGCAAAGAACTTTTAGGTAAGCATTCTTTTTTGGTTGCATGAAAAACTTTACAGAACTTTTCAGATCAGGAATTTTTTTTTAAATTGCTGATTACGCAAAAACTTTTCAGAGTAGAACTTTTTGTCAGTTATGCAAAAAACTTGAAAACTTTTATAATAATTTTTTTGGTCTGGTTGTGCAAAGATTTTTTTTTTGTTTGGCAACAAGAAAACTTTTCAGATCAGAAATTTTCTTTCAATTGTTTGGATTACTAAACTATAATTTACTTTTCTTTACATTAATAAAGTTTTTGAAATTTAAAATAATGTAATTTATTATTTTAACTACATTTTAATAAACCTAATTATTAAATATACAATTATTATAATATTTTTTAATAATTGTTACATTCTTATTGCTATGTAATCACTTGTTTTCTTGATTATTAGTAATGTTAAAAGCTCGTTTGCAAAAAGCAATATTATCCTTATTTTTTAAAACCTCCCATGCAGTATAAAACTTTCTATAAAATTCCTGTTTGTTTAAATCCTAATTTTTTTTTTTAATTTAACAAAAAATGATTTTATTTTTTGTTAAATTAAAAAAAAAATTAATTAACTTAGCTTACTTTAATTACTTTAAATAATATACATACCTGTATAGACTCTTCACCTAAATATTTCTTACTTTTAGATATGTAAGTTGGTGAGCCTTCATTATTATAATTTGCTAAGCCTTCATTATCATAATTTGGTAAGTCTTCATTGTTACCAAAACCAGAGTTAGTATATTCAATTAATTCTTGTGTCATTTAGTTAGATGGCATATGAGTAATTATCTTATTAAGAACATTTGCTAATGCCTCTTTTTTATGTTTATCTGTAGATTTGGCATAAGAATAGTAACCATCAGAAGATTTGTAACTGCTAATTGCATGACCTGTATTTTCTGGTACTCCAATACTAAATAATTTCATAATACTTGTTCTTTGGCCTGAATAATTACAAATATTTCTTGTTTAATATCTAATCTATAGTTAATACATATCATTTTAAATAGTGAACAGATTGTACGATCAGCTAATGGTTTGTCTAAATACTATTTCCTTTAACAATAGCTTTAGCATCAGTATTAATTTTTGTTTTAAAAAAAAATTTATTAGTGTTAGTTAGTTAGTTACAGTAAAAAAAAAATTTATTAGTGTTAGTTAGTTAGTTATAGTAAAAAAAAAAATTTATTAGTGTTAGTTAGTTATAGTAAAAAAAAAAATAAACAATAAATGAATTAATATTACCATTTGGGCTGCAGCAAACTGAAAGATAAAAATTTAAACATTTAAAATATTTAGACCGAAAAGAAAGATATTTTCTTATATCAGTATTTAGCCCTATAACACCTTGTGAATTGGATAGAAAAGGTATAATTAAATCAAATTGATTTCTGTCTATCTCTTCTTAATCATTTTTCTGTTGGGTTTTCTTTAAAATAATATTGTCTGGCATATCTATAATTTGTGAAACATGCAAATTAACATGTTTACTGCCTCTAGTTGCACCTAGAATGGAAATCCAGAAAAAACCCTGTTTTAACAACCCTAAAGGAGTATTAGGATTCAGAACTTCATGATCTAAAATATGCCAAATTTCTTCTGTTGTTAATCCATCAGTAGATTTAGATTCACTAACTCCTTTCTTTTTTATATCTTTAAGCAAGTCGTCAAACTGTTCATATAAACTAGAGAACTCATTCCTATCGTGTAGATTATAATGCCAACTAGGTTTTATATTTTGCAGATGCCTGTTAATTGCTGATAAGGCATTTTTTAATGATGCTCACAAATAAGGTTTGCCTTTCTTAGTTGTTATGCCATATAAGAATTGGAAGACTTGAAGTTCAATCATTTCTTTACTTTGATTTTCTAAAAGTTCATTATATTTAACGTCTAACCACTATTCATTCATAATTTTAATCCATCTGTCAGTATTTTTAACTGTATTTTCTGGGATATGTCCTTTAGCAAGTACTGAAAGGTAATCAGTAGAAGGTAAGAAATTGCTATATTTATCCATATTCAAACTTTTAGAAAGAGAACATAACAAAAAAAAGAAATTCAAATTATATTTATAGTTTGTACAATTGATCACTGATGTGATTAGTAATCTGTAAAATTTTAGCATTCGAAAAACTTTTAAATAAATAATATAAAACTCTATTAATGTAATAGTATAGTATATGCTTTTAAATAACTTTTTTTATTATAATAAATGTGTCAAACTTTAATTAAATTTGCCGGATAAAACAGTTATGAGGCACAAGTGCCTCATAACTTCAGTACAATTTGTATTTTTACAAGCACCTTGAAGACTGGCATGGTGCTATCGCACTATACCAGTCTTCAAGGGCTTGTAAAAATGCAAATTGTACCTTACTGGTATTTGCCATATGATCTGCTTGTTTGAATTTGTGCACCTTCGGTGCTTAAAATCGACCAATCAAATCACATTCTGCAAATACCTCAGTTATTTGGCACTTCATGCCTCATAACTATTAAGTATGCTTTTCTGTAGTAATTTATTATTTTTTTTTTTTTAAATATTAAGGTAAGTACTTGTGACTCAGGATTTTATTGATAGTACATTCAGCTAATGGTTGCATTACAACTACAGGAGGCAACTATGGAAAGAGTGTACAACT